AGCCAGAACTCAGCGAGGCCAAAGCCAAGAGCCAGGAACTTCACCCAGGTCTCCACGTGGGTGTCAGGCACCACAGGACTCACGTCATCATCTGTGGCCTCCCAGGGTGTGGATTAGCAAGAGCCGGGACTCCTCCACGGGATGTGCGCATCCCAAGTTGTAGCTTAACCCGCCGCACCACCGCGCCAGCCCCTGCAAGTCACATGTTTAATTCCAGAGGCGAGAAAATGGGTGAGGGGCACTGCAAAGTTACCCGGCAAAAGGCGCGGGTCCCGGCCAGGGTGTGGAGCTGCAGCCAGAGATGTGCCCCATAACACCTTTCTGGTAGCCCTTGCTCGCGGGCCCGCTGGAGAGCGCTGCCTGCCAGTCAACCGCTTTGGGCGGGGCTCCTGCTCAGGGGCGGGACAGGAGACCAAGGCCTCAGCCAATCAAAGCACACCATTACCCAGGGCACGGTGATTGGATCAGCCAGACATACGGGACCCAATCAGAACCAACTAACAAACTGCAAACCCCAGGTAGGTGAGGAGGGATGGGAGGGGGACGCACTGACTCCCGCTCCAGGAGGACCCAGCAGGATGTGAGTTGAGGCCGCTGGCAGCCATCCTACCCAGAAAGAGAGGAGGAGTCCGGGGAGGCTGCAGAGTGGATAAACGGTCCCGCTGTGCAAGTTGTTATTTTTAAATATGTATTTATTTATTTATTTGAAAGTCAGAGTTACAGAGAGAGAGAGAGAGAGAGAGAGAGGTCTTCCATCCGCTGGTTCACTCCCCAGATGGCCGCAACGGCCGGAGCTGAGCCAATCCGAAGCCAAGAGCCAGGAGCTTCTTCCAGGTCTCCCACGTGGGTGCAGGAGACTCGGGCCATCTTCTACTGCTTTGCCAGGCCTTAGCAGAGAGCTGGATGGGAAGAGGAGCAGCTGGGACTCGAACTGGAGCCCATATGGGATGTCGGCACTGCAGGCGGTGGCTTTACCCACTGCGCCACCGCGCCGGCCCTGTTTTTTGTTGTTTTTTAAATTTAATTTATTTGAAAGAGTTACAGAGAGAGGGGGAGAGACAGCCTCCATCTGTGGCTGCAATGGCCGAGGCTGAGCCATGCTGATCAAGGGCACGCCTGGCACTCAGGTGTGAGCTGTTCCAGTGACTCAGGGGTCCCCCAGGTCACAGGTCAGTGGGTGACCCATTCCGGTGACGCAGGAGTCCCACAGATGACTCTTTGGGTACCCACCAGAACATTCTGTGCAAGCAACAGCCATGAAACTCAACGGCCGTGTGAGACTATATTGGTTCACGCCACTGAAAAGCCACTTAGCGGCCGGCGCCGCGGCTCAACAGGCTAATCCTCCACCTAGCGGCGCTGGCACACCGGGTTCTAGTCCTGGTCGGGGCGCCAAATTCTGTCCCGGTTGCCCCTCTTCCAGGCCAGCTCTCTGCTGTGGCCCGGGAAGGCAGTGGAGGATGGCCCAAATGCTAGGGCCCTGCACCCCATGGGAGACCAGGAGAAGCACCTGGTTCCTGCCTTCGGATCAGCGCGGTGCGCCGGCTGCAGTGCGCCAGCCATGGCGGCCATTGGAGGGTGAACCAACGGCAAAGGAAGACCTTTCTCTCTTCACTGTCCACTCTGCCTGTCAAAAAAAAAAAAAAAAAAAAA